GTGTAGGAGGCAGCTGATCAATGTTTCTCTCTCATCGATGTTTCTGACTTTCTATCCCTCTCCCTTCCTCTCTGTAAAAAATCAGTAGAATATATTTTAAAAATATATATATATATTTTAAAAAAGAAGAAGAAAAAAAGAAAAATCAACCAAAAAAATGAGTTCGCATGTCACCTGACACGCGTGTCATAGGTTCACCATCACTGCCCTAGAGTGTGTCTGGCAGAGAGAGAACAGCGTAGTTTATAGGACATATCTCTCTTGAGTGTCTTCCCTGGCCTGGGCACTGGGGACCAGCACGAGCTGATGAACCAGGATGGGGGGCAGCCCCAGGCCATTTGGGGATCCGTTCCGTCCACGGCCCCGTGGCCATTTCAAGGATATTGATGGAGGGAACGGGCAGGCGATGAACAGAGGGAGACGAGCAAACTTCCAAGGCTTGAGGACCCGCCACCTCCCTCTTCAGAGCTGGCAGTGGTGAGAAGCCGAGATCTTTTCAGTGGCTCGCAAGGCCCCACATGATTTGGCCCCAGAGCCTCCAGTGTGGCTTACTCCCACGCTCCCCACTCATTCCAGCCACCCTGCTGGCCTCCCACTGCTTCTTGCACCGTGTGCCTCAGGGCCTGTGCACGGCTGTTCTCGGCACCTGGACTGCTCGCCCCCCACGTGTCCTTTTGTGTTCCTTGCCCCTCAGGTCTGTGCTCAGGAGAGGCCTGCCCTGTGCACCCTCCCCTCCTCGGCTGCGTTCATCTCTAGCTTGTCCCCCAGATCGGTCTTGTTTATAATGATACGACTTCCTGTCTGTCTCCCTCCAGGAGGGAGCGTCTGGTCGGTTTTCTTTACTGTTATACCCAACGCTGAACCCTGCCTGGCATGTAGGCCCTGGTGCGTTGGGGTAATTAAATGGCCAGGGCGGCACGCAGGCCGCTCCCTCCGCTGGCCCCTGTGGTCCTGTTCTGGGCGCGTTGAATTACCCAGCAGGTGTGGGAGCCGAGACCAGAGTCCCACTGTACGGCCAGGGCAGGCGGCAGTGGGGCCAGAGCTGGGCCCGCCCACCAGAGCAGCCGTCAGGCCTGGAGAGGGGATGCAGGGGCCCCTAGGGCCACCCTCAGCTGGACCTAAGGGGAAGGTGTTCCAGGCAGAAGAACTGCCTTGGGAGAGGCCTGGAGGCAGGAGGCAGTGCAGAGACTGGTCTGAGGCCTGGGTTCCCCTTCACCTGACTCACTGGGGTGTGGACCCCTGGGTCTGAGTCTCTGCATCTGCAAACAGGGCGGTGGCCTGCAGCGTCACCCCTGAGCATCAGGGGAGAACCAGAAAGCCCCTGACGGGGTGGGCCGTGTTCCCGCACGTAGTTCGCTGCGTCCCTCAGCCTTCAGGTTTCCGTTGGTGACATCGCAGGCCCTGGCCCAGGCAGCAGGGAGCAAATTATGGTGCTTTAAAGTGAAAAACACGTGAAATACAATTTGTTTTTCATAATCACACTTGGCGTTGACATGTTTTCCTTTAGGGACAGCAAATTGTGTGTTCTGATCTCAGGGCCCTCGCACTGGCTGTGCCCTCTTCTCGTCCTTCCCTGCACCTCTGGCGAAATGGCCCTCTGTCCCCTGATCAGCTTAGTTCCTTCATCCATCACAGCTCCCTGAAGGCAGACCGTGGAGCTGTCCTCAGCCACTCGTTCTCCCCACACTCGGCCATCAGCACCCACATTGCTCACCTGGACTAGTGCGGCCACCACGCCCCTCTTCTCATTGCAGCCAGAGGAGGATCACGAGACACGGACACGTCCTGTCCCTCCTCTGCCAAGGACCCTCCATGGCTCCCGCTCCCGGTGGTTGCGAGGCTCTACGGGCCTCCTCCCCCATCACCCCTGCCCTCCCCTCATCTCCTCCACCCTCTCGCTTGCCCACTCCTGCCTCAGGGCCTTTGCTGGCTTCTCTCAGCCTGGGACACTGCTCCCCAGACAGCACACGGCCCGCTCCTCTTCCTCCTGCCTCCTCTCCGCCCACCTGCCTGCTTCTCTGCTCTGTTTCCTCTTCTCGTGCGTCCACCAGCACAGGACTCTTGTCTGGCCTGCTTATTGCTGTGTCCTCAGCACCTGAAACCGCGCCTAGGGCTCAGCAAACAGTTGTTCAACAGGCCTGGTGGGTGGATGTGTGCACAAATGGGTGGATGGGGGGCTGGGTAAGTAGATGGGCAGGCAGAGGGGAGATGGATAGATGATGGATGGGTGGATGGATGGATGAATGATGGGTGAATGGATGGATGGATGTGGTTGGATGGATGGATGGATGGATGGATGGATGGGTGGATGGGTGGATGATGGATGGATGGATGGATGGATGGATGTGGTTGGATGGTTGGATGGATGGATGGATGGATGCACAGAGAGACAGATGGGAATAGACTTTGGCTGGAGGAGCCCCTGTTAAATGTTTCCCAGTGGGACTCTGGGGTGGGCTGGTGAGCTCCAGGCTTGGCAGGACTGCGAGGGCACAAAGGCCTGTTTGCTCCTGTCCTGTGTGCCAGCGTCACTTCCCTGTGGATGCCAGTGCCACACCTTGACCTTCTCTGGGCCTGGCGAGAGGTCCTGCTGCGTGTCTCATCTGCTCTCCTGTCTCTTCGGGCTCTGGTTTAGTGGGGGCTTGGCAAGTCCTGCAGTCTACCCAGCGCTGGGCCTGGGCCTGCAGACCCTCCGGAGGGAGCGCAGGTGGGGACACAGATGGCTGGGCTGGGGGCCCTGGGGGTCCTGGGATGCTGAGACAGAATAACAACGACTCATGGTGGCCTGGAGTATTCTGGGTGTTGTCCTAGCATTTTACAGAGATGACTCTTTAGTCTCCAAACAACCCTATGAGGGGTGTTTTATTATGTCCCCATTCTATGGATGGGGAAACTGAGGCACAGAGAGGTTATTGAGGCTCCAGCTCCAGCAGCCTGGCTCCGACGCCTTCTCTCCACTCCAGCTGCCATGCTCACGCGTCTACCCTCCCCTGCAGGATGTCACGATCGGGCCGTCCTGCTCTACGAGTACGTGGGCAAGCGGACCGTGGACCTGCAGCACACCGAGGTCCCCGACGCCTACCGCGGGCGCGGCATCGCCAAGCACCTCGCCAAGGTAGGGCAGGTGGAGGGCCCGCTGGCCAAAGTGCAGATGGGTCCCACCCTGCTGCCAGCCTGCAG